AGTAATGAGGTAAGCAGGTTCTAAGGAGACAGGTTGTAAGAGATAAATAAAAGTAGAACCCCTAAACAAAATTATAGGGGAGTATGAAGGAGAACCTATAAAACGAAATTATAGGTAATATAAGGAAATACAACAGAAACAGAGTTTTTTTTTTTTTTATAATTTGTATTTTATTGATTTTCATGCATAGAAACATACATCTTTATCATATTGCGGTATATGATATGATATGAGGTATCAACAGTGGTCCAGCTGGAATCGTAACATTAACTGCATATATTAGAATTTGACGCGTTTTGTACATTGTATAGGTTAGGAATAAGTGCTGCTTAGTGACCTCTGTTATGTTGGTCTGTCTATATGTGTGGGCTATGTCGGGGCGTTATCCCTCTATATTTAGTCTGTTTGTGGTTCTCAATTGTAGTGTGGGCCTTTTTGTGTTTGTTTGTTAGTCTTACGTCTGTCAGCTGTTGGCCTGGTGATCCATGACCCATCTATGCGTGCGGTGGGCCGATGGGTCCCCATTGAGCAATCGTCTTGGTCTTAGGGGTCTTTGCCTGGGTTATGTCTGTCTCTCTTAGGCGTCTGAGGAATTTCTCCTGATCACCGTCAGGGGGCAGGGTTAGTGTTTCCTCTCCTCTCTGTGTAATCAGTGTTCTGTCAACTCCCCACCTATATTGTACCCCTAATTCCCTCAGTTTGCTAGCCACTGGGCCTAGCTGCCTTTTCGCCGCTAGTACAGCGAACAGGAGGTCTCCATATATAGCTATTGTGTAGCCCTCAAAGTTCACATTTTTTAGTTCTCTTGAGCGAGACATGATGGTGGTTCTGGCCGCAGTGTTCTTGGTTACTGCAATAATGTCTCTGGGTGCCTCTGCCGGGGCTGAGGCGGCTTTCCGTATACGGAATGCGGTCATTACCATCTCCTCAGCTACTCCATTTTTGGCTCCCCTGTGGGTCAGCATACGGTGCAGGAAGGGCATAAGGTCATCCCCTGAGACCCCCTCAGGCACTCCTCTGATGCGGACGTTTTTCCTTCTGTGCCGCGATTCCAGCACTGTCACATTCTTGGACAGGTTTTGGACCTGTTTTGCCAGACTTTGAATCTCCTGTTGGGCATTCTGCAACTGTGTCTCCCTCTCTCGGTCTTTGGATTCAAAGGCTGTAAGTTTTTTCCCCAGGGTGCCTAGTTCCGCTTGTGTCGCCCGCAGGTCTGACTTCCATATTTGCCTCATCTCGTTTAGAAGGCATTTTATATCTCTTTTTGTTGCCGGCGCTGAATCTGCATCTGGGTCAGACTCACTTTCAGAGCAGCTTGCTGGGGTATTATCTTTGGGCAGCTCCGCATCCTGTGATGCCTCTGAGGCTTCATCCTCACTCTGTGCCTCCGGCGCCATCCTGGGTGCCTCCCGCCAGGCCAGCCTGTCAAATGAAAGCCTGATATCAGGCAGTTTGCGGGTCTCCGGCGCGTGTTTTTTTTTTTGCCCCATTTGGCTGGCTTTTAAGGGGTGGATGTCTCTGCGTCTGTGGGAGCCTTTCGGGTGAGTTAATCATCCGTTTTATGAGTCTCTGTGCCGGAGCTCCTCACAAGCGCGTCTTGCCTGTTGCTCCGTTGGCCACGCCCCAGAAACAGAGTTTTTATATAGAAGAAACAGAGTCCTTCGGGATGGTTGAAATAATAAGGAGTATTTGTAATATCCAGGTTAGTTCAGTAGTGTAGAAATAAGCTATGTTAAATCAAAGTCCAGCATTTGATTAAAGCTAGTAGGAACAGAATATCAGTATATCCAGGTTGTTAAATAGTTACCGGTAATTTGTAGGAACGAAGCAATAGTGAAACAAAGTCCAGTATTGACTAAAGCTGGTAGGAATAGATGATCAGGATCTCCAGGTTGGTTAAGTAGTGTTCAGTAAGTGAGACAAGTTGAAAAGGATGATTCAGATAGTATTAGGATTTCAGAGTAGGAGCCAGGATAAGAAGTCATGTCCACTTCAGGGCACAAACGTCAATCAATGTTAAGGCACCATTTGAAGCCGGGTGTGGCCTTTTATAGCATGTTTGAATGATCATGCTATTCAAGTGAGAGTGTTTTTGATTTGATTAGAATAGTGGTTAGTGAGGCCACTACTGGAGGAAAACAGGAATTGCTGCTGGAACTAATTGACTGAAAGGAAAACGTTTTAAATGTATATGAAACAAAATAAAAATGAAAAATAATGTGTACTGATGTGTGTGAAGGAATGCCCCATCACTTGGTTCGGTAATAATCATTTTCCCCTGTTCGTTTATACGAAATCCTCCGGTTCGGTTCCCGAATGAAGACCACCCCAACATCTAATTAGAACATGGAATACAAAGTATCCAGTGCGAAAACCACAACGGAAACTATTATTAAAAGGCTCCCCTGGGTGGCCATTTTGTTTACCGAATGCGCGTGGTCAACAGAATGGATGACGGCCATCTTGTCTCCTGAACGCAGGCACCGGTACCTGGTCATCGAGTGCCTGGAACTTATTTCGGCTAGGCACTCCCGCGAACACAGGTTAATATGGATCTGCTGCCCGTTCAAGTTCCTGACCACCTATGCGAAAGGCGTTCGGGAGATATAAACTACCGAATGGGGGGAGCATTCAACACCTAAAAGCGCTCGCATATTATGTATGGTCTTCGTACAAAAACCTTCACAGAGAACGGCCGTTGCCACAGTTTCCCTTAAAAGGTTTTGGGCTTCTACCTCATGGATGGCCGGTCCACATTTTACCTCAATGCAAAATCTGAACCACCGAACCGATCTGTGCTTTTTGGATATGATAGGCACTCAGATCAGGGCTATCCAGGGATGTGACTCTTAAGGGGTTTCCATGGATTTTGAGGGTGTTTAAAATTTTTGATATTTTTCTGTACCTGGGATATAATTGAATTGTAAGTTTCCTGAGAATTATTTCTCAGGCACAGGGGAGGAGTTTACTGTGTATAAATTGTGAGTACTTTTGTCTGTTAAACAGATATATTCCCAGCATTCAGTCTTGACTAATGTGTGGGGGGGAAAGGTGATACCAGAGATATTTACTTTGATGAGTGTTGGTGTCACGATTCGGGGAACCCAACACGCTGTCACACACACACACACACACAGAAAAGGGGCCGTACCGGACCTTAGAGTGGCCGGGCTAAGCACACACAGAATAGTCAGGAAACAAGCCGAGTAAGGGGAACCAGAAGACAGAATAACGTGAAACGAGCCGAGGTCAAAGGGTAGGAGAAAGTCACAGAGTCAGATAAACAAGCCAGAGAGTACGTAACCAGAAGCACAAGGTAAATCGCAATGCTAGCAAGCAAAGACCACAACAGGGCAGGGAGGAACAGGAAAGGTAAGTATTTAAACCATAAGGTTAATTCTGATTGGATAATTTCCAATCAGAATTAACAATCACACGTGGGAGATATCTAGACCTCCCACTGTGATTGAGACACTGTGCCTTTAACGCCGGGTCAGGTGACTGACCCCGGCGTGTACTAACTTGGGCGGTCTCCCAGCGTGCAGCGTCATGTATTCTGCCGCTGGGGGACGTGGAGGAAACGGCGGGCGGCATCCGAGGCTGGAAGGATGCCGCTCGCCGAGCCCACGAGGAGGAGGGGACCGTGGACGGCTGGAGGGTGAGTACCGCGAGCGGAGTGCAGCCTCCCCTCGCAGCCGCCCGCGGGATCCCGACAGTTGGAGCTTCGTTATTTTGGGAAAGGAATCCGTGGCGGCAATATACTGGCGGTCCACCGCTGTGATAATCTTAATATTAGTGAGAGAAGAGCTTAAATCAAATTGTAGTAGAATGCTTGATCTAGGGGCAATAATGGCTCTGTATTTGCAAGTAGAACTGACTCAGCATGCAGGCATAGTAAAATATTGACTAGGTAAGAAAGTATTACAATGTTGCACAACCTTGCTGATGCTGTTATAAAACAGTGATGGACCGAAGAGCAACAAAGTTGCAATTTGTTGTCTAAATGCAAAAGCAAGGGGAACCTTGACTAAGTGGCACTGCAGATCAAGCCTCGGTCACTGAGTCAGTCTAAAATAAAATTCACACCAAATAGGTAACTTCGGTACTGTTAACATGTCTAAAGACTATACCACTGTCCTGTGCCTTCAAGGGCACCTAGGTATTGAGGATCAGCCACAGCTAACTATCTCTCTAATAGTATACAGCGTGGTAACAGAATGAAGATGGATTCAGCACTGCTAAATAAACCTCTGATCTGGGCTTAAAGTACAAACCAAAGCTAGCTATCTCTAGTGGAAGCAATGCTGAAGTCTAATTAATATACCCGAACCTGTCACTCAGATGTGAAGGGGGAACCTTCCTTCTGCATATAAAGAAGTTGTGTAAGTATTATAATGCCAGACACAGCAAAATCTCTAAGTCTGAGGGATAAAGGAACCTCTTTATAAAGGAGGTAGTGAGGCATCAAATGGTACAAAAGACTTGAGGAAGCGCAATGTACCCGAGAAAAGTACCGTCATTGAAGGTGACTGGAAATTTTCACCCAGTGTCCAATTGGAGGATTCTTACAGTGAAGTCAAAACTTAATATTCAGACTAGAAACCTAGATTCCGAGAACTTTTTGGACAGTTTGGGTTCTCAGGGGAGAGCTATCCTGGGGTGACACTGGTTTGGGGATGCAGGTTCAAGGACTCATGATTTTATGGAGCATTGTAGCATGGTGCTGAGATGTCTGGCCATTAATTAAGTTAACTCATCAGGTCTAGACAACAAGGCGCTAGATGTTGCAAAATGCTATTGTTCTCCTGAGGACTCCCTGTTGGGGACCTAGGTACATAAAAAATACACTCATGACAATAAAGCTGTCTTTTGTTCACCCTTAGATTGAAGGGATACTACAGTCAAAGCTTAATGTAGTTGTTCAGATGAGTATAGTCAGTTCCTGTAGGTATTTCCATGAAAACACTGCCTTTTCAGTGGCACCCACTCAGACGGTCACCAGAGGGTTAGGGTAGGGTAAGGGGTAGGGTTATGGGTAGGGTTAGATTAGGGGTAGGGTTAGGGCTGGTTTAGGAGTAGGGTTAGGGGTAAGGCTAGTGGTAGGGTTAGGGGTAGGGTAGGGTTAGGAGTACAGTTAGGGTTATGGTAGGGTTGGGAATAGGGTTTGGGTTACCCTACCCCAATTCTAACCCTACTCCAACCCCTAACCCTACCCCAACCCCTAACCCTACCCTAACCCCAACCCTCTTCTGTTTTGCCACTTTTCAGAAATCCGAAGCACTTCGGCACTTCTAAAATTCATCACTTCGCAATTTGGTTCGGTTTGGCATTCCGAAATGCGGCACTTCGGAAATTAAGAAATTCAGCGGCTCAGCATAAATTCGGCACTTCGGCATTTCGGAAATTCAGCACTTCGGACATTCGGAAGCATCCGAATTTGCATTTAGAAGTAAACAAAATTGCACATGTCTATTGATTCAATATATCTCTATGAGAAAATGCTGATTGTCCAGCACAGCATTTTGCTGCAAGTGGACACTAGCCTCATTGGATTGGCTGAGATTGTCAATTCTAATGATCTCAGCCAAGGAAGGGGGTGGGGGGAGGGCAGGCCTGGGGCCAGTGCTGGCGGCACTTGAATAAATAAATTTATAACCCTATATTTGACTGATTAACAGATTTAACTGTATAGGTACAAAAATGCATATCCTGCTTTTCCCAACCAACAGTAAACCTACTGTCACTAAATGCTTTTTCTCTACATAATGTAACAATTAGCTTTAGAAGTACCTTTTTTTTAGTCTTTAATTTGATCAGATTTTCTGCTAGTCCTCTGATTGCATGTACTTCCTCCATTTGCTTTTTCTCTGCTTCCTTATATAAAGTGCTAAAGAAAGTGCAAACATACACAAAACTTGTGTAGAAATATTGTGCAAACAATCCAAGTGCACTAAATGTTGAAATACAATAAACACTTACTTAGCAAAACCCTAAAAAATGGAGCTTCGTGGTGTTCTCCAGAAGTTTAAGGTGGAGCATGGCACATAAAAAAAGGAGAAAATACATATAGTGTAACTCTGTGACATATAATATAATTTAAAATAAGTGAATCTAAAAACTCAAGGGGAGAGCAGTAAAAGTCTAACTTTGAAAGCGTGAATCCTTAAGTCAGGACCAAAATGTGTCAGGTAACTAACCAGGATGGCAACTGGATACGAAGAAATTCTTTATTACCACAATCTTACAAGATCACATACAAGGCATACAGCTCTTTCCCCTGGCGGAGTCCATACACCGTGAATCTAGCACTTGCGGTTCTCGGCACAGTGGGGAGTTCTTCCGGAATCTTGAGCTTTGTACGATCATGTGATGATGTCGTACGTACTAGAACATGATGATGCGTTTTGTCTGAGTGGCCTCTTCAGATCAAGTCATAATCCTGTCGTTATAAACTATTTACATCCTCTCCGATGGGCGTGATATATTAAAAGTAACTCACTGATTGGTCCTAATAGAAAACCCTAAGCCAGCATCGCTAAGTGTCCTTATGCAAACATTTAAAGTCCACAAGTCTTTGACATATCACCTAAACCTTGCTTTGACAATTGTAAAAGCATATAAAATCACAAAAACAAGGATATATCACCTTATACAATACAGAAACAGACAGTATAACAAGACAATATGATCTAAAAAAAATACTGATTAAAATAATGTATTTCAGAAAACTTCTGGAAGAAAAATGAAAGGGCCAAGATATAACATGCTCATCTGTTTTTATATATGTCAGATGATGGAGGAGTGGAGGGGAAATAACATCTTATCGTGGAAGATAAAATATCAGGCTTTCTGTCCTCATTTCATTTTATGAAAAATGTAATGTTCCTGAGGATATGAGGATGTGATAAACCCAAAGGGATATTTCTTAGTTACATCTTATATGCTGAAGTCTGTTTGTGTGCTGACGGCAATTTTCTTACAGGAAAAAGCTCAGAAAAAGCTTAGAGACTGCTGTGATGAAAAATGGTTTTATTTCTAAGCTGGGAATTTGCATGTGACATGTTCAAGAAAAGCAAGCGAAAAGGCAAACTTGTAAAACGCGGAGTATGTTGATTTATCAAGGTCATAACATGAGGGTTTTATTCATTTACAGGGCAAGCGTCATAACCACTATAGCCCACCCTCATCAGCTGGACATGTGCCATGGACACACCCATCCATTAGACCCTCCTCACTCGCCACTTTCCTCTACTGACATTAGATCAGACCATTTTTAAAGGGATGTCCTAATGAACAAAGCTGGTTGTTAATGTGAACAACCTTGGGACCTTTGGTAGTGAAGCATGGGGGAGGGGTTGCACTTTGTGACTCTTTGCACTGTAACTACTGCAACACCTTTTTTTATATACATTCTGTATTTAAGATTTTTAGAAAGCTTTGAACAGACAAAGGAGTCAGAATAAAATAATTGTCACAAGAGACACAAATTGGCAATGGGGCAAATCATGTACAGAACACCGAATGAATTTGAAGTACAACACTGTGTGTGGGACATGTGCTCCACTGTCTGTCACATACTGTCTAGAGCAGGGGTTACCAACCTGTAGTACGCTAACCCCCCTGGGTACAATTCAGTTCCCCCAGGGGTACACACACACACACACACACAAAAAAAATAGTCTGTAACAGCAGTTCAGCCGGTGCAGCTACACCACACACAGCAGATCAATTGGGTGGTATGCATTTAGAGCCACCCAATATACATATGTCAGCTACAGCGCATTAACAGCGTGATTGACCCCTTCTAATCTGCAGGGACTGCTGGGAGGAAGTGAGAGACAGTCACTTCCTCCCAGCTCTATATATAATGAGCAGCACAGGATGGGGGTGGTAAGTTGCGAGGGGGACGGACTGGGAGAGGAGCAAGCCTCTAACTCCCAAGAGCCCCATCCAGCAGAAGCCAAAATTTTTACCTGTATGTGTTTTAGCTGTCTATATTGTAACCGCAGCTAGTTCCCCTATTTACCACTATAATGTCTTAAAGCATAGAACTTAGCAGGGCTAACCACAGTTATCTAAGCCATAATATTATATAGTTAATAAGAGATCCTCTATCTAAAATATATAAATAATTGAGAATACAATATAAAATAACAATTGTCTTGGAAGAAATAAAGTTTTGTTTTTTTAGATATTTTATTAAATAAAAATATAAATATAGACATATAAAATCCATTACAATAGTTTATAGCAGAGTTTATAAGATTAAACTATATGCTTGCAATATCATTAAAATAGAATAACATACCCTCCTGAACATGTCAACATTCAGCAGGGCCGGTGCAAGGATTTCTGCCGCCCTAGGCAAAGATCCATTTTGCCGCCTCACTGATGGACACACAGACACACACACTCACTGACAGACACACACTCCCTCACTGACAAACATGCACTCACTCACTGACAGAAACACAAACACACACACGCGCACACAGACAGACACTTACTGATAGACATACACTCACTCACTGACAGGCACAGAAACACACACTCACTGACATACATTCACTCACTCACTCACTGACAGACACACACACACTCACTGAAATACATACACTCACTCATTGACAGACAGACAGACAGACACACACACACAAACACTTACTGACATACCTACTCACTGACAGACACAAACACACTCACTGACATACATACACTCACTCATTGACAGACAGACACACACAAACACAGACACTCACTGACATACATACACTCACTTACTGACAGACACAAAAACACATACACAGTCAAACACTCATCTTCTGGGGTCCAGTGTGGGGCAGCTCCTCACTGCTCCAGCACGCCATTTAGTATGCTGGGGCCGGAATGACATCATATTCCGGCTCCTGGCATTACAGCGAGTGCACACGCGAGGAGGGAGGAGTGAGAGGCTGCAAGAACAGCCTCCCTCGCAGTCTTCCTGCTCGATCCCCCTGTCCTCCAGGCACCGGCATTTAATGGCAGAGCTTGTATATTTGGATTAATTTTCCTGTTTGCTGCTGCATTTTTTTGCTACTCTTGCCTGATTCCTACTCTTCTGCCCGCCTGACAGTATTGTTTGCATGATTCCTACTCTTCTGTACTTCATTATTAGATGGTATAAGACCTCTGCCTGCAGGGCCGGACTGGGGATACAAAGCAGCCCTGCATAAAAAAAATCTATGCCAGCCCCATAAGTCATTGCGCCATATATTGTCGCATGTAATATGTAAGGCTAAGTCAGATATAATATATTTTGCTTTTTCTAATATAAAATATTGGTCCTTTCAGAGTAAAACATTTAATTATACAGTAAGCATACTCACATGCAGACACAGAATCTCACTGACACACACAAGCTGATTGATACACAGCCTCATAGACAAACAATCTCACTGATATACATAAGCTCATTGACATAAAAACATAAGCTCACTCACTAGCAGGCACACACACACACATGCAAGCAAGCTCACTCACTAGCAGGCGCACACACATACACAGCTTAATGTAGTGTCTATAGCCTGTCCCTGCAGGCTTTTGAATGTAAACACTGACTTTTCAGAGAAAAGGCAGTGTTTACATTGCTTCCTAGTGAAACCTCTAGTGACAGACACTCAGACGGTCACTAGAGGCGCTTCCTGTGTCAGTGCGGATTGGCTGAGATCATCAAGCTTGATGATCTCAGTCATAGAGGCAGGGCCAGTCGAGGGGAGACCAGCACGACGTTGGGAAAAAACCCCACTATTTTTAAAAACACACACAGACACCACGACAGACACACGCACACCATGACAGACACACACACCATGACAGACATACACACATATACCATGACAGACACACCATGACACAGACCATGACACAGACAGACACACACACACACCATGACAGACACACACACACACCATGACACAGACAGACACACACACCATGATACAGACACACTGTGACACAGACACACACATGACACAGACACACACCATGACACAGACAGACACACACACACACCATGACACAGACAGACACACACACACACACCATGACACAGACAGACAGACACACACACACACCATGACACAGACAGACACACATACACCATGGCACAGACAGACACACACACCATGACAGACAGACACACAGCATGACACAGACAGACACACACCATGACACAGACAGACAGACATGCACACACACACACACGCCATGACAGACAGACACACACACAGCATGACACAGACAGACACACACCATGACACAGACAGACAGACACACACCATGACAGACAGCCCCACACACAGCATGACATAGACAGACACACACACACACACCATGACAGACAGACACACACACAGCATGACACAGACACACACACACACCATGGCACAGACAGATACACACACAGCATGACAGACAGACACACACAGCATGACACAAACACACACACTCCCACTGACAGACTGACATACATGCTTTTTGCTACCTGTGGGTGGGCAGACAGATAGGTGTGCTGGCAGCCGCAGGGAGAACTTGGATGGCGGCCACAGGGGGGCTCTTCTGGCGGCCACAGGGGAAGCTGGCTGTCTCTGTCTCTGCTCCCCAGCGCGCAGCTTAATGAGACCAGGGCTGGAATATGATGTCATATTCCAGCCCCGGTCTCATTAAGTAGCGCGCGAGGGTGGGGGAGCAGAGACAGAACAGCCTGCTCCCCCTGCGGCCGCCAGAAGAGCCCCCCCTGTGGCCGCCATCCAAGCTCACCCTGCAGCCGCAGGTCACCCAAATGTCTCCCCGGCCCCAGATGCCGACGGCCCACCGGGAAATTTCCCGGTATTCCGGTGGGCCAGTCCGGCCCTGTCTGCCTGTCCTCTACTCCTGGATCCCGATTTTGTGTCTCTCTGCTAGACTGTTCCTGACTTTGCTTACCTGACAATATAATTTGCCTTAACCGTCAGCCACAGTTCCACTTTGGACTTTGCCTTACTGCAGGTACCTTAGAATATGCGTCTGAGTAAAATGCACATTTTTGTTTAGCTGTTAGACTACTGACAACTGTCAGCCCAAGTTCCAAATAAAAATGTAGGATTTTTTTTTAAAGTTTAAAAATACTTTCTTTACTAATCTGATTTCAACTTCGATCTACTTCGGCGCTGGCTCGGCATTCTGCCTTTTCTGACAGGGAGCTAATGCGCATGCATGGTGAGCACTGCAAACAAATTAGGCCCTCTATACTTCAATGCGTTCCCATGGGAATTTCACTAACGCTGAATGTCCTCATGCAAAGCATGAGGACGTCCAGTCTCAGTTAGGCAACCAAAAGCCGTTGAACCACCAGGAAGTGCCTCTAGTGGCTGTCTGATTGAGTCTTAGTCCTGCAATGTAATTATTCTATTTTCTGTTTTACATTGCAGGACTAAGGGGAACAGGGACAATGAGATTATGTGGTCTGGGTGCCTATAATGTCCATTTAAAAAGAATCAGAGTGGCCTCCTTAACTTTTTTCTGAGATGAAATGTGGCCTTTGCTTTATCACTATAGGGAGGGATTTATCGGGGGAAGAATGTATCCGTTGGAAGGGATATACTGAGTGAAGAATGTGGTTGTGGGGAGGAATATTCTGTAGCAAAAAGTGTCAGAATAACTGATAGATCTGGTGTTGTTAAAAAATATTAGTATATTAAAAAATGACAGGGTACAAAAAAAAACAAGCAAACAAAAAAAAATGATGGAAAAAGCTGAAAGATTAAAGGACCACTATAGCGTTTTCCTGGCACTGAGGGTGCCCCCACCCTCAGGGCCCCCCTCCCAGCAGGGACTCCCAAGATATAGGGGAGATGCTACAACGCCCAATGGCACCCAAGATGGCGGTCCAGCCGGACACAGGCACGCAAAGAGCTAAACCTCCAACCAATGCTCACATAACCGGTGACGCTGAAGCCCCTACAATCTTCCTAGAGGCACTGTCGGAACAAGATCCACACGCCCCCGCCACAAAACAAGACATCGCCAAACTCTTAAGGGAACTGCGACAAATGTCGGCGGCCGACATAGACACGGTCCACACCCATGTAAAGGTGGTGGAGGCTCGCACACAAGCCACAGAAAACACAGTTCTGGAGCTCCAAAGAGAGGTACGAGACCTGAGAGACAAAATAGACATCCTACAGCACTCACATACCTCCCTGACACAGCAGGTCTACATCTCCGAAGACCGCAATAGACTCCCTAACATCAAGGTCCGAGGTGTCCTGGATTTAATCAGCCAGGCGGAACTGCCGCACTACTTACGACGACTGGTAGAAACAATCCTTCCACACTCACAAGCTAAGAAACTCCAGGTCCCTAGTGAAGCCACGCACGACATAATAGTACGCTGCCACTCCGTGTCAGACAGGAACCGACTCCTGGCAGCCATGAAGGGCAAAACCCCCATGGACTTTGAGTCATCCAAACTGACATTTTCCAAGACATTTCCAGGAATACCCTGCAATGGCGGAAATCACTAGGCGCAGTCACAAGCCACCTACGGGCAGCAGGAGTTGAATACTGTTGGCTACTGCCGAGAGCTCTCACGGCCACAACAGCAGATGGTAGGACCCTAAGACTCACCTCTACAACTGATGCAGTAGCATTCCTCCAAACATTGGGACTAAGCATGCACTCAGAGGCACCTAATGCCCCCACCGACACGCAACCCCAGACACCGGCTAGGCGGACGCTCCACACGCCTGAAGGGGGAGAGAAACCAGACGACGAGACCTGAGCCCCCATGAAACCTACAGCTGTTACTATCCTTCTCTAAAGTTAATTTCAACACTATTTACCATTACAGTTGATTCACCACACCTAAGCCTTATAAAAACACCACACACACTGTAGAACATCAACTGACCACATAAACCTCAGCTAATCCCACAGTCACTACCCACATAGATGACCCCCCCCCCCACTAAGACACCCAAACATACACAGCTAAGCCCCTTCCCCCCGTATGCTCCCTTGGTTAGGGGCTTGGCATCAACTAGACAAAGCGACTGGTACCACACACACTGACCTGACGATAGTGTCACTAACGACAATACCAGACCTACATGAACCGAAATACGACACACGACAAACACAAGGGTCCGATACCTCACGGAACCACAGCGACAATTATCACAACACACTACCCACCACGGAGGTACCCACACACATCACGAATATACATTACCAATCATACCATACATCCCCACTGACACACAAAGAAAACATTTTGAAATGAGGCATTTTAAAGTTGAATGTTTTATCTTGCAATTCTGTTACCTCACAATTTACGCACTGAACAATGCATGTGTTAACCAATTTGTCTCAATAAAACAAAGATTGACAAAAAGATATACTCAGATGCAAGCTAGTACAGAAGCGGATAGCGTGGTTAAGCCTTCATTATTGATTGTCATCATGGATGTATAGCATATCTCAGGGCCGGACTGGGAGAAAAATTCGGCCCGGGCATTTTTTTAACACAGCGGCCCACTAAAAAGGGGGCGGGGCAGAGGAGGTGTGTTTTGTCATCACCAATGACAAACACGCCTCCTCTCAAAGTGAGCATGTTGGTTCAATGCTCTTCCAGGGCAGACCATGCGCAGAGCTCTGCTGAAGAGCTCTAGCATGAGAAAAAAGTCCTGTATTTGTTCTGCACAGTGCAAGCAAATTTAATAACATGCTTGCACTGTGTTTCCTTGCAACTTGTCTCTGGTGTCTCTATAAATGGATACCAGGAGACAAAAGGCCAGGAAAGAGTATTGTGCATGTGTTTGGAGCCTGCTTGTGGTATTGCGTGTGTGTAGAGTGAGCTGGTCGTGGTGTGGTATTGTGTAATAAGGTCGGTTTTAGTCGTGTTGTGTTTGTGGTGTAATGTGATGCATATGTGGCTCAGGGACCCCCTCCCGCCCGGCTCTGGAAAGGGGTTAAAACTTACCTTTTTCCAGCGCCGGCGGGGAGCTCTCCTCCTTCCGATGCGCACGCGCGGCAAGAGCTGCGCGCGCATTCAGCCGGTCGCATAAGAAAGCATTTATAATGCTTTCCTATGGACACTTGCGTGCTCTCACTGTGATTTTCACAGTGAAAAGCACGCAAGCGCCTCTATACCGGCTGTCAATGAGACAGCTGCTAGAGGCTTTGGGGGAAGGCTTAACCCATTGATAAACATAGCAGTTTCTCTAAAACTGCTATGTTTATAAAACAATGGGTTAACCCTAGAAGGACCTGGCACCAAGACCACTTCATTAAGCTGAAGTGGTCTGGGTGGCTAGAGTGGTCCTTTAAGAGTGTAGTGTGTGTGTGTATGTATATGTATATGTGTGTATATATATATATTTGGAAGTATTGTGTATGTGTGTGGTGCAGTGTGTTGGGGTGGTTCTGTGTGTATGTGAGGGGTGCAGTATGTGTGTGTGTGAGGGTGCGGTGTGTGTGTGAGGGGTGCGGTGTGTGTGATGTGTGTGAGAGTGCCGTGTGTGAGTGATGGGTGTGAGAGTGCTGTGTGAAATGGGTGTGAGAGAGTGCTGTGTGAGAGAGTGCTCTGTAAGAGTGCTGTGAGAGAGTGCTGTGTGTGTGTGAAAGTGCTGTGTGTGAGAGTGATATGTGTGTGTGAGTGCTCTGTGAGAGTCTGTGTGTGATGTGAGAGTGCTGGGTGTGACTGTGTGTGATGGGTGAGAGAGTGCTGGGTGTGAGTGCTGCTGTGTGTGATGGGTGTGAGAGTGGTGTGAGAGAGTGCTGTGCTGTGTGAGAGAGTGCTGTGTGTGATGGGTGTGAGAGTGCTGTGTGAGAGAGTGCTGTGTGTGATGGGTGTGAGAGTGATGTGTGAGAGAGTGCTGTGTGTGATGGGTGTGAGTGCTGTGTGTGATGGGTGTGAGAGTGCTGTGTGTGATGGTTGTGAGAGTGCTGTGTGAGAGAGTGCTGTGTGTGATGGGTGTGAGAGAGTGCTGTGTGTGATGGGTGTGAGAGTGCTGTATAAATGTTATTGTGTGTGTGTGTAGGGGGGGTAAATAAAAAAAATAAAAATAAAAAAAAGTCATTATTTCCCCCCCTCCCTTCTTACCTTTAGCCTGGGAGGGTGGGTCCGGCACGCTGGAAGGCGGGGTGGCAGTGTTCCCTGGTGGTCCTCGTGGGTGAGTGAACTCTAGCCTGTGAGGCTAGAGTTCACTCTCGCGAGATCCGGTCGTTGCCATGGCAACGCGCTGGATCTCGCGAGAGGAACCCGGCGGAGCTGCAAGTTAGAGCTCCGCCGGTGTTCTATCAGTTTGGTATACCCCGTCAGATTGCTATACCCACGTCACTTCCGGGGAGGGGAATCAGCTGTCTCCTGTGCTGCACATGCGTGCTAGCACTCCTGCTACTCCTCCACAGCAAGGTCCTGGAAGGTAAGTAAAACTAGTTTTACACTTTCATTATAGTTAGTGCATTCACTAAGCTTAGGCACACGGGACATTTTATGGGTGTGAGAGTGCTGTATAAATGTTATTGTGTGTGTGTAGGGGGGGTAAATTAAAAAAAAAAACAGACACTATGTCCCCCCCCTCCCTTCTTACCTTTAGCCTGGGAGGGGGGGGGACCGGCACGCTGGGACTGGGAGGCGGGGAGGCAGTGTTCCCTGGTGGTCCTCGTGGGTGAGTGTGCAGCACTGGAGACAGCTGATTCCCCTCCCCGGAAGTGACGTGGGTATAGCAATCTGACAGGTATACCAAACTGATAGAACACCGGGTCCTCTCTCCAGCCTGGCTGGCTGTCTCACTCCCTCCCTCCCCGCCGGTGGCCGCATGTGGGCCGGTCAGGGAGATCCTTGATCTCCCCACCGGCCCTCCATGGCAAACAGCGGGGCCGGCGCTAGGAGAGTGCCGGCCCTGCATAGACCGGCAGGGGAGATCTTGTAACCTTTGCCCGGTGTGCCCGATGGCCAGTCCGGGCCTGGCATATCTTATTGCATTCTCATCTCAAGTACACACTC